CCAAACCAGAGGCCTGGGGGTAGTTGCTGACACTGACTTTGAACAAGGGGGTCTTTGTAGGCCAAAACTGGCTTGTGTGTTAGAAGATTATATCATCAGCTTCCCGCCTGTGGTAGTAATGAGGGATATTCACAGATACCATGGTTTTTCTCCTTTTGGGTACAGGATAGGATTATAATTGCAATTTTCTCTCCCCTTTAAAGTTAGGCAAGGCCGTGTAACTTGCTCTAGCCAAGACGATGTGAGCAGAGATAATATGTGTCACTTTAAGACCAGGACACACCATTCCTTTTCCTCTGCCACAGAGACTGTGAAAGCATCTGTTGAGATGAAATCACCTGACCTCTGAAGAAAAAGCATTGCAGCTATCCCATACTAACCATATAAGAGGAGTGATAAATACATTTTTGTCATATTAAGCCCATGAGATGTTGGGGATGAGATATTTGTTACGTGGCATAATCCAGCTTACTTGACTGACACAAATATTTACAAACTTAAGTCCACAACTTGTTCTAGCTTTACTCATTCAGTGAACATTTACAAAGCCCCAACTCTATACCAAACATTTTGCTAGTTCCTAGAGGCAGCACCTAGAACAGTATCAGGTCCCCGTATTTGTGCCAGAAAAACTGTTGAATAAATAATCGTATTAATTACTATTATCAGCATAATGTTTGGTGCATAGTAAGTGCCCAATAAATGCTATGTTTGTCTAATTCCTCCAATGATTCTAAAACTTAATACTACCACAATATTCATCCTTACATATAAGAAAAATAGAGGCTAGATATAGTGGTTCATACCTCTAATCCCAGCACCTGGGGAGTCCAAGGCGGGTGGATCACTTGAGGTCAGAAGTTCAAGATGAGCCTGGCCAACATGATGAAATCTCACCTCTACGAAAAATATAAAAATTAGCCAGGTGTGGTGGTGCATGCCTATAATCCCAGCTACACAGGAGGCTGAGGCCAGATCATCTTTTAAACCCAGGAGATGGCGATTGCAGTGAGCCAAGAAGGTGGTCCAGTGTGGGCAAAAAAACAAGATTCTGTCTCAAAAAATAAGGAGAAGAAGAAGGGAAGAAGGGGAATGGGAAGAGGAAGAGGAAGGGGAAGGGGAAGGGAAGGGGAAGGGAAAGGAGAAAGAAGGGGAAGGTGAAGGGGAAGGCGAAAGAAGGGGAAGGGGAAGGAGATGGAGAAGGAGAAGGGGAAGGGGAAGTGGAAGGGGAAGGAGAAAGAAGGAGAAGGGGAAGGGGACAGAGAAGGAGAAGGAAAAAGAGAAGGAGAAGGAGAAGGTGAATAGGGAAGGGGAAGAAGGAGAAGAGGAGGAGAAAAATAGTTTAAAGAGTTTAAATCACTCACTCTAAATTACATAATCAATAAGTTGCAGACCCAACCTAAACTACAAATCCGTAGTTTGTACCCTTAACCATTATCTTACACTGTTTCTAAACAAGTGAATGAATAAGTGAGAATAAAGGTAAGTGTCTGTCCCTGAAGGTTTTACAATATAGTAGGTGACTGACATGCAGAAACAATTACAATTCAAAGTGATCTAAGCTGGAGGAACTGGGAAGGTGTTACACCAAAGATAGTATTTGAGCTGGGTATCAAAGATGGAGAAGTTCAGACTAGCTATGACAATGAGAGGGCATTCCTAGCTAAGAAGATGACATATTCAAGGGCATGATGGGCAGTGCCACACAACCAGGAAATGGGCCACATCACAGAAATGAGAAATCCCTTGTAATTTCTTACACCATGGAACTGGGCCAAGAAAATCCTCTATCACGACAAAGTAGCCAGGAGTGAGATGAGAAAGGCAGGCACCTTGCTGACTACACACCGTTCAAGGCCAGTATTCATTCTATAAATCTTTATTAAGCCTATCTACCAGGTCTAGCTCTGTGCTGACCTTGGGGCTATAGTGATGACAGCAGGGCATTGCATGCCTGCACTACAAGCTTCACAGGCCAGTGTGCCTCAAATAGAAGCTGCACAGGATCAAGGCTCAAGAAGAAATCCTAGCCAGATGTCTGACCTTTAGGAAGATTTTGAACAAGACGCCAAATCTCTGAGGCAGAATTCCAGCCTCTTCTCAGCCAGTCTTTGTCCTGGTGGGCAGCCAACCATGTCAAGTTGTTTAACTGGACCTCAGAGTGTCCAAGAGAGGCTGAGTCAGCAGATCCTGAAGACATCCTCACTGCCCTTACTTTACCTGATCCCTAAGAGCTTCACCATTATTGCACTAGCATGAGAAGCTGGAAAAAATCCTGGTAGCATAACTATATGAGCAGTAGTGTTTAAGGGCTGGCTGAAAAGGCTTCAGAGTCTTGCAAGCAAGAGGATCAAGTTTCCACGAAGCCTGTGTCTGCCTGGCTCTGCTTCAAAGGTCACTAAATTCCTGCCAGAATTAAGGAGAGAGATTCCTCAAAATCCTTTTCACGCAAGGTGTACCAGGAATAGGCAAGGATTGGATCCATCATGCACAACCTGTGTTACTATCCCTCTTTCTCTTCCTGGGATCAAGCTGGCTCAGGGATGTTCTGCTTGGCTGCAGAGGGATGGACAAAGTGAGCCTAAAATTTGCATCAGCAACACTAAAAGGTCAAGTTTTCAGATCTCCAGCAGGCTGAACTGACCCTCCAGAAACAGATGAATTTGCCAAAAATCAATTCATCAACAGCCAACATGCAAAGCTACTGATTTTCCAAAAGTCCAGTAGTTGATGAATTTAGCAAATTCATACTTTTTTTTCTACTTGCCCCTACTACCTATTACCCTGCCTCTGCATCCACCTTTTAAATATTCATCTTCAAATTTCTATCAAAATGACCAAGGGAATTGAACACTCAATGAACTGGTCGTTCAGTGCGTTGATTCTTAGCTAACCAATTTTCCACAAACAGCCCCTCATCTGCTGCATACACAGGCCTGTGAATCGCTCTCCTCTCCAACTGGAATTCAAGAGTGCCTGTCAGAAAGGGGTTCAGTCTTGATCCACCTAGGTAGGTCTGAATGTGGGAAGTTTGTCACCATCCTCTGTTGAGGGGTGGCGACATCCCTCCCCAGGGTGGAAAAGAATCTTTGGTGTTGAAAGCTTGCCTGCTGTTTATTTACTCAAATTTGGGTGCTTTCTCTGACCTCGCTGAAAAGTCATTATGAAAGAGCAGGCTCTTGGCAGGTGTGTACGTTATAAGTGACATACTTTAAAAACACCTCGTGTAAATCAGATATTGCCATAAAATGGAAATTGCAGCTACAAATTGCATACTTATTACAGCAGTGTCAGATATATGAGGCAATGTTGATGCTACATAACAGGTAGCCTGAGAAATAGAAAGTTACATGTGGCACATAAAAGATAATTATTTTTCAATCCGCAATAATACAATCTCTCTTATTTTTGACATCGCAGAATCCTACATCAAAATTGGAAAGATTCTTACAGACATTATCCAGCCCTTCATTTTACGGCTAAGAAAGCTGAGGCTTGTGAAGGGACGAAATCTGCCCAAGGTCACCCAGAGCCTGGCAGCGCTGCTTTCTTGACATACACCCACCATCTAGAGAAGGCATCCCCAAACTTTTTACACAGGGGGCCAGTTCACTGTCCCTCAGACCATTGGAGGGCCGCCACATACTGTGCTCCTCTCACTGACCACCAATGAAAGAGGTGCCCCTTCCTGAAGTGCCTCGGGGGGCCGGATAAATGGCCTCAGGGGGCCGCATGCGGCCCATGGCCCGGCGGTAGTTTGGGGATGCCTGATCTAGAGGCTCTATGGTTCTGTCCACTTTCCTTACTAAGTCTGTGGAAGCAGGAAGTCTACTTGAGTCTACTCCACACCAGGGACCAGACACAAAGCAAGAGATACATGGTCCCTGTTATCAAGAAGCTCACATTGGCCATACTGGTGGGGAAGCTGAGCCCCAGGGAGCCCCTACAGGGAGCAGTGACAGAGTCGGGTCAGAGTGCCACCCAGGCCCCCAACTCCAGGCCCACAGGGCAGTGCTAGCACAGCCCAAGGGCAGAGGTGTGTGTCCTGCCCCCTGAACTCCCTGAGTGCATTTTTTAAAATTTTCTTAAAAATGTGAGAGAGTCAATATCCTATTGTACTATTGTTTTGCAAAATACTATCATTGAAAGAAACGATAAAGGGTATATGAGCTCACTCTATTATTTCTTACAGATGCATGTGGATCTACAATTATCTCAATATAATGTCAATTTTAAAACTATGAGAGGATTTTCAAAAGGCATAAAATGGTACAGACAGTCAAGACAGTGCTGTGGTTGGCTCACAAATCATTCTCACTACAAAATAAACGTCTCCCTAGAAAAGACCAGAAGTGAATCAGTTGAGAGATGGGCACCCCAAAAGCCCTAATGTGACTGGGAGTGATGGCTCATAACTGTAATCCCAGGACTTTGGGAGGTTGAGGCTGATGGATTACCTGAGGTCAGGAGTTCGAGACCAGCCTGACCAACATGATGAAACCCTGTCTCTACTAAAAATGTAAAAATTAGCCTGGCATGGTGGCTCATGCCTATAATTGTAGCTACTTCCAAGGCTGAGGCAGGAGAATCACTTGAACCCAGGAGGTAAAGGTTGCAGTGAGCTGAGTTCGTGCCATTGCATTCCAGCCTGGGTGACAAGAGCAAAACTCTGTCTCAAAAAAAAAAAAAAAAAAAAAAAAACAAGAACTCACATTTGGGTGCAGTGTAAATACGATGTCTGGGCTTTGTCTCTGCCTCTTCCTCATTCTGTATCCTTGGGAAAGTCATCTAATCTCATTGGGTCTCAATTTCTTGGGTGTTTTTTTTAAAAATGGGGGTCTCACTATGCTGCCCAGGCTGGCCTTGAACTTGTAAGCTCAGGTCATGCTCCTCCTCAGCCCCCTGAATAGCTGGGACTACAGGCACAGGCCACTGTGCTCAGTCCTCAGTTTACTGGTCTGCAAAATGAAGCCGATTTCATCTACCTGACTCACAAGGGTATCATCTGGCAGCATATATACTAAAATTAGAACAATACAGAGAAGACTAGCGTGGGCCTTGTGCAAGGATGTCACACAAATTTGTGAAATGTTCCATATTTTTTAAAAAAAGAATTAAGACATTCTAGGTAGGATCATTAAAGATGATATTTAAGCTATCAAGAGCCATATTCATTTCAGACTCTACGAAAAGACCAACACTGCAGGAAGACAGTGAGTGCTACTGTAGCTCAGGGTCAAAGCAACGTGGCAAAAAGTCCTCAAGAACTGTAGCCTTTTCTGCAGATCATCTATACTGCAGACAGTGCCCCAGGTTTATCATCCCAGAAGCTATGCAGAGCTGCCCTCTCCCAGCCACTCACAGGGTCACGATCATTCCCTGCAATTCAGTGTTACTTTCTTATTTCAGAATTCAGAATTCTAAGGCAATTCAGTGGTCCACGTGTGCACTTCTAAAACTGCCGCCGCTAATCCCATCTCACAGAATGTAAGCTACCTGAGGGATGGGATGTTTTGGTCTTTCATTCAACAATTATTTATGGAGAACCTACTTTGTGCCAGATTCAGAACTAGGCACTGCCGTGCTGTAATGCACAAAGAACAAAACAAACTTTTTGCTTTAATGGGTCCATGCAATTAAAAAATAGAAAGCTGGGGTGGGGGGAAGGAAGAGGAAGATAATATCAGAGACTGGCAGGTAGTATGACAGAAATGAATATAACTGGCTGATGTACTGACTGGGAAGTTGTGTGTGATTGGATGGCATTCAGCCGGTATACACATATGCTGTCCCAGCTGTAAATGGCTAGCATCTGTTTGGATTACCCAGTGATTGTACCAACCTTGTTGCTAGAGATGTTTAATGCCACCCCTGGTGTGTGGTACAGCATTAGTCAAGCAAGGCATCTTTAACAGCACAGCACTGAGCAACAGTTGTGTAAGGAGAGGTTGGCCATGAGTGATGCAAGGGAGGACTGCTCCAGGGGACAGAGCCAAAAGGTGTAAAAGACCTGTGGCAGGAACTAGCATGAAGTAAGAGAGCAGCAGGAAGAGGGCGGCCAGGATAACACTGGAGCACAGGAACCTCCGAGGTCAGCCAGGTGGGAGGGAGCTAAGGAGGCAAGGTGGGCAGCAGCTGCCTAAGGGATTTGGGGATTCTTCCCAGTATGATAAGGAGACATAGAGTCCTTATAAGGAGACTTCTAAGCAGGGGACAGGATTTGGGTTTTCATTTTTACACAAGCAGCCTGGCTCAGTAGAGAGGCAAGAGTGTATCCTCAGTGCCTAGAATCGTGTCTACCACATAGCATGCACTGAGTAATCTACTATCAAATCAAAGAATAAATATGCTGAACTTTTTCTGGTGCTGAATGGAGCCATTCATGATGTGAGTTTAGCTTCATTTAGATCCTCTCTCTATGGTTGTTACTGAGCAAAAGTGAATGTCCTCACTGACTCTAGCTGCAGATGGTGCTTGAGCTGTTAGGATGAGCCCCAACTTTGATGGTGGTTCCTAAGGCAGGCTGAGGGTTGTACACGCCAGAGCTCCCAGAGCTCCTCACGTGGCATTGTGCTTCCAGGCAGAATGGACAACTCAGACCTTTATCACTCAGACATTAACATGCAGAAGCCCATGCAGAGGAGCGCCTATGTTTAAGTGGGTCTCTCTGCAATAATGGTAAAATTAGACTGTCATTCAAGAAAAGTGCTTGCTTGGGATTGCCATTGGCACCTCTGAAGTTGCAATCTGGGGTTTGCATGTGATTTTCTCATTTTGCAGACTTTATTACTGCTTCTCAAAGGTGTTTTATCATTGCAATTTTTCTTCTTTCCTCCTTATCATTCCCCCATCATTCCCAACAGCCATACATCTCAGAGGGAAGGTCCTCACCATCGTGATCATCTTTTTGCTCAGAGAGTGAAAAGCTCTCTGAGGGGGAGGTGGGGCATGCACAGGAGGCCACAGTGAGGCCTTCAGAAAGGGCTAGCACCATCTGTGGTTGACACTGTGGGTGGCCTAACCAACACATTTCCCTCTCTTCTTCTTCCTAAAATAATCCAGATTTTTGTCCAGGTCTGCATGAAGCCAAGTGTTACACAGGAAATTAACCCCTCCCCCAGCTCCAGAGACAAATCTGATTGCTTTGGAAGTAATCTCAAAACCCTTGCAATGATTGACTCAGTAAAGGTCATGTGACCAAACCGAGCCAATGAAAGAAAAGGAGAAGCTTGGGAGAGACCTTTGTTTATTTATTTGGCAAATACTTATTGAGCACCTACTATGTTCCAGGCACTGCTATTAAATGCTGGGACTATAGAATTTACTATATGCAGGAGATAAAAAAAAGTCATGACTCTGTGAAGAGAGAAGGACAATAAACAAATAAATCATAAAATATTTATAGTGTTTGACGATGATCAGTGAAACAAGGTGAAGTAAAGAAGAGATGGAAAGAATGAAAGTCCAAGGACTGCATTTAAAAATAGGATCCTCAGGGAAGACCATTCAAGGAAGGTGAGGGATTTGTCAAAATGAAGTCTGTAGGGAGAGCATTTCAGGCAAAGGGTCCTGAAGCAGGATGGGCTTAGCATGTCTGAGGAGCAGCAAGGAGGTCAGTGTGCTGGAGTAGAGTGGACAAGAGGGACAAGAACAGGAGAGGAAGCCAAAGAGGTGACACTGAGACTGACTGATCCTGCTGGGCACCGTAGGTCTGGAAAGGACTTCAGCTTTTATACAGAGGCTGCCTGAGGTTTTTGAGCAGAACAGTGCCATGATTTGGCTTGTTTCAACAGTATCCCTTTGGTTGCTGTTTGGGAAACAGACTAAGAGAAAGCAAGGACAAGAGCTGAAAGAGTCCTTCCTCCATCTTCTGGGAGAGCTTCCAAAAATGCTCTCTTGCCCTTTGGTGTCATTATGCATAGATGTGAGCTGTGAGGAGAACTACAGCCTCGCCATATTCACCTGAGTGTGACACGGCTCCACACAGGAAACAGAGCCAAGAGAACTGCAGGGAAATGCACACAGAGATACAAAGTTTGGTCAACTGTAAACCTTACCTTGCACCTAAATTTTTGGTTCTGCAAGTCGATAAACATCCTTATTGCTTCAACCAAAGAAAGTTGAGTTTTCTGCTTCTTAAGCTTAAAATCTTTCCAACTGATTCATCATCTAGCCTCACTACCCCTTTGCTCCCACTATGCATGCTGTGGCTACCCTGGAAAAGCTCATTTATTTATTTTTGAGAAAGGGTCTCAAAATCTTTGTCACCAAGGCTGGAGCCCAGTGGTACCATCTCAGCTCACTGCAGCCTCAACCTCCAAGGCTCAGGTGATCCTGCCACTTTAGCCTCCCAAGTATCTTGAACTACAGGCATGCACAACCATGCCTAGCTATTAATTAATTAATTTATTAATTTATTTATTTATTTTTGTAGAGACAGGGTCTACCTATGCTGCCTAGGCTTCTTTAATGCTGTAGAAGATCTTAATTCAGGAAATAGTGGCACTTTTTTCCCTGAAATGTCTTTCCATAAAATCCTCCAACTCTGAAGTCCACAGGCTGTCAGACTCATCACCTCTTCCTCACCATTTGTGTATTAAATCATCCAACATTTATTGAGTCTTATAGTGGGCCTCCCACTGTCCTGCATTAAAAAGATCAATACCAGTTCTGAAAAGTCAAGATCATGTGCAAAAGAGAGAGAGAGAGATAGCTCTTCTGGTTCCATGGCATTTGATTGTATTAAAAATGACTTTTCTTCAATGCAGCCCATATGGTCTCAAATGGCCTGAGTCTTTCTGGGCCTCAGTTTGACCCTCTATCAAATGGCCCTTTCCATCTCTAATAGTCCATGGGCCTATGACTTAGGGTAGCTTTTCTTTTGTATTCCTATGGTTTGAATGTTTGTGTTTCTCCTAAACCCTTGCTGAAACTTAATCCTCAATGCAGTAGTATTAAGAAGTGGGGCCTTTAGGAGGTAATTAGGCCATGAAGGTCCCACCCTTATCAATGAGATTACTGTCTTTATAAAATGCCTTGAGGGACCAAGTATGCCTTTTTTAGCCCTTCTGGCATGTGAGGACACAGCATTCATCTCCCAGTATGCAAACACACAGCAACAAGGAAGCAAAGAGTGACCCCTTACCAGACTGAATCCACTACATCTTAACCTTGGACTTCCCAGCCCCCAGAAATATGACAAACAAACGTTCATTCTTTATAAATCATCCAGTCTAAGGTATTTTGATACAGCAGCCTGAACAGACTAAGATAGGTGTCAATCTCTACAGTTAATCTCCTGTAGCAGACAATAAACCAGAGGTCATAAAGACTTCTTCACATTTTTTCAAAGCCAGAGCTCATGACTAAGTGAATTTGGCAGCACCATGAGCCAAGTCACATTCTTTCACACAGTTTACAGTAAAAAGTTTTCATAATATAGCTATCCCATAACAAAGGTATTAGTCCTTTCCCTACTATCAACCTCAAATTTCCAATGTCTCGGAACACCTAGTAGGGTTTCTGTTTTGCTGGGCGAATTCTAATTGATAGATTGAAGAAGAGGAAGGAGGGAGAAGACATGAGTGGATGAGTGGGATGTGGGTTGATACACAGACAAGAAGAGAAGGTACGAAAAAACACAAATCCGGGACTTAGTTGCAAGGTGGGAGATGCTCAAGGAAAATGAGTTTAGAGGAGGGAATGAGGAATATTCTCCAACTTCTCCTCTCTGCCACTCTTCAATCTTCCAAAAATGCTTTCTTGAACTAAATGTCAAAGAATGCTGAGAAATGTAGCTCTCTGTGACACAGAGCAGATGGGAGAAGGACAGGCAAACAGCCAGCCTACCCACCAAGCAAGCTTCCTCTCTCAATATCCACATTCATTCAGGCAGCTTCATTCCTCAGTTCTCCAAACCCAAAACCTTCAGAGTCATGCTGAAACCCTTCCTCCTACTTCTTCTGGTCTTCTCTGCAGAATTTTGCCAACTGCTCTGATTTTTTCTCTGAAATAAATTTCTTCTTGACTCCTCTTCCACAGTTCTGCAGCCACCATTGCACTACAGCCACCATTGCAGTATAGCCACATTGCAGCCACCATTG